ACATTGAAATGTTAGAAAAAATGCGTCTGTGGTGGCTTCGGAGAACCTGAAGCCCAGCTCTTTGAGGAAACCATTTCCATCCTTTTCCTAAAGGTAAAGAAGGTTTCTGATCTGATTGTGACGAGACAGTATTGGTGGGTCAGGTATTTGTACATGTTGTACTTGTAATCTTCCCCGTGATCACCACCACCAACCATCTTGTTGACAAGTACTAAATTTTATGTAGGTGTCAGACGGAGTAGATGCACATGTACAGTCCCACACCACCAGTGTTCCAGAGATATAATGTGATCTTATAAAGGTCGCTGGCAGGCGTACTTGAGTTGCTCCAAATAAAGATAAAGTTTGTTTTGGCTGGCCCCAGTGGCAGCAAAACTTTTGTTTATCTCGTTGATTTCTTTGCTCCTATCATGGCATCTTCTGGAACTTGCACATTTTAAACCATACAAACTGAATTAGTGTGCTACCGCTCTGCCACTAATACATTTGTGCTCATTGTGAATAAGGACAACATGGAGGAGCGCCACTGCTATGTAGTGTCTGCAGGTCAAGACCTCTGTCAGTCATAGAGATGAGCACTGATAGAGCTGTGAGTGATGAGCGCTCACAGTTAAGAGACGAGCTCTCTTTTTTCAGTTTCAGGAGTGTTTTCCATGATGGGGCTGTCCCAACTGGATTGTTTGTGATCCATAGTTTTAGCTGGTATTGTTGGATTGGTGACAGGGTATTCCTCATGCTTGTACCACTAGTGTACTAGTGTTTACCTGGAGTTTACCTGGAGAGAGTTTCGGGGGTCAACGCCCCCGCGGCCCGGTCTGTGACCAGGCGGAGGGTCATCCACCCTCCGCTGAATTGCTTAAAAGTTCTGGTAGAACTGTTCTGCGCTAGTTCGTTGGATTCATGGGAGAAGAATAAGAAAGTAAGATAATCTGAGATGATGCATGTCACAGATTGTCTTACTGTACGTAGAACTCCCACACCACCACCACTACGACAAGCACCCACCACCGCCCCCTTCACCTTCACCACTGTCACTCACCACCGTCACCATCACCCCACCACCTCCCCCATATCACCGTTATTCTACTTCATTCACCATTAAGAAAACGAAGCTGGGAGAGGAGGACAGACTTCGCCTTTACACAGCCATGGAAGTTTTTTCCTGTGATATTTTAGCTTTCATATTTTTCAGAGGCGTCCAGGGCCCTCACAGCCAAGGTGAAGAGGGTGAGAATGGGCGAGTTGTTTATGGTGGTGATGGAAGGCTAGGTCTGTACAAAGGGAAATGAGGAGCAGGAATGAAGGACAAGGCTGAGATATAAATCTAAGATATTTGTCGACTTTCGTAGACGTTCATGTCTTGTTATACGCAAGGGAAAGTTCTAACCTCATAGGGAAGTTCTAGAGCATCTGGAAGGCCTTCTGGTTTTTCTATCCTTGACTCATACACCTAAATAATATACGACATTCCTTAACCTAGATACAGGTAGTTAGTTCTGAGTAGATTACTAGAGGTGGACTTGGTTTAATATCTTTATTATGCACCCCATACCCATCCTGTGGGCGGTAGTCAAAAGATTACAGAGGTACATAATGGGTCCAGGGACTGGACCCCAAAGTTATGATAGCTGAACTAGTTACAAAAGTAATGAACTCCAGGTAGATCTGGCCACAATCATGGAAAGTTACACCCCTCAAGGAAGGTTCCTTGATGTTGGTGAGGGGCTCTTCATTTAGGGAATTGGATCTGTGCTCCAGTTCCCCGAATTAAGCCTGAATGCCTTCCACATCCCCCCCAGGCGCTGTATAATCCTCCGGGTTTAGCGCTTCCCCCTTGATTGTAATAATAATAATAATAATGGAAAGTTACAAAGGTAATGAATCAGCCTTCCGAGACTTCTGCTATTACTTTCTCGTGTACTCCCGTGTGCCCATGAAAGCGAGGTAACAAGGTTTTAATCCGGGGGGAGGCAGTTATCAGCAACAGCCTGGTTAAACAGGTAACCAACAGAAAGACCGAGCTACCAGGCTAGAAAAGCACAAATATGTAATATATATTTAATTATTCAATTATATGGTTGAGTACTTTACCACACTTTTTATTTATTAACTTTTACAAGTTTAACTTCTTTTATCGTATAACAAATTGTATATTTTCCTAATTAATTGCATGGCGATTAATTTAAGCATCAATTTCAACATGAATCTATTGTTTGATCACCAGCTTTACTTAAAGCCACGAAAATCCTCCAGAATAAATTATATTTCCCTCGTATTTATCACCAGCGTCATTTATCAGTTTTCTTTGGTAAATCATTTAGCAAAAAAATTAATCAAACATTTTTTTTTAAACTGATTCACCATCCAACTTAAAACACACGCAAGCTAATCTTTATCCTGGAAGTCTGTTCCACTTCTGAAATTCTTTTCTGGTGGATGTCCAGGGATGTAGACAGGATGATGCTAGGGAAGTTTCCTGCTTTGTAAACCTATTTCAGTCGTGACATTAAAATAACATCATTTTTTCTTCTTTGTATTGGAAAGTTATTTAAAGGTATTAAAATTAGAGTGTATCGGTTTAATTATTGTTCGTAGCTGGAATGATAATTAATATTCGGCTGTTATATAATTAAGGTATGTGTATGTATTAGCTATTTTATAAGGTAGGGCATTTAGAGGATTTGTTCATATATATTATAAAACCTTGGATAAGTGAAAGTATTCAAAAAGGAGAGTACCCTGGTGGCTAAAGCTCTCGCTTCACACATGGAGGGCCCGGGTTCGATTCCCGGCGAGGTGGAAACATTTTGACGTGTTTCCTTACACCTGTTGTCCTGTTTACCTAGCAGCAAATAGGTACCTGGGTGTTAGTCGACTGGTGTGGTCGCATCCTGGGGGACAAGATTGAGGACCCCATTGGAAATAAGACAGACAGTCCTCGATGACGTACTTTCTTGGGTTATCCTGGGTGGCTAACCCTCCGTGGTTAAAAATCCGAAGAAAATCTTATCTTAACTGGATACGTCCCTCAGATCTCCCGAGAGTTACCTGTCAAGGTCACAGGTCACAGCTGATGCAAGCTCCTCCCTGCCTTGTGCGAGTCACACCATTCTCTATTGTACACTCCTTTGTTTTATGCACGCCTGGGCTCCTTTATAGCCACCGAACTAGCCACGTCTGTGTGCATATTTTCACGCTGCTTGGCACACCACACCCATACCACCATCGTTCACCTCTACCCAGCCGTGTACCTGACTACACACTCTTGTGGATGAACCTGCTTGCTCTATACATCTTGACTGCCTGGTTCACCTTTACACCGCATTGAGTCGTATTGCCAAGCTGAAATGTTCAAAGTTTGTGAACTCAGTGCTCAGAGGTACAGGTTTGGTTTTGGTGAGGATTTGTTTTAGGTGGTATTGTATACCACCACTTTAATACATTCTTGTGAATAAGCCTGTCTTCTACATGCACCTCTTGTGCTGTGTGCTACCAGAGTCTAGGATATTGTGTTATTGAGTCTGATCTCCTTAATATGCGTGCCTAAGGTGATATTGTAGAGTGTGAAGATTGTCCACAGGTAGGGAGTATTTAGTCTTGTCTTGACTGTTACTGCTGTGTGTACCTGGGGTTGTTACTTGGCACTACCAGTGAGTCTTAGTGGTATATGTCCGGCTGGAACACCGCTATTGAAATTTGCCTAAGTTAGAAGGCTAAGATATATACTTTATCATGTATATACTAAAGATTGTATTTTGTTCTCTTAACTCATTTGCAAATAGTAACTTAAAATATAAATATATTTTTCTCTGGACTAAATTAAATAATTTCGATTATGCCTTACTCTTTGTATTTGCCTTTGAATGTTTAATGACCCAAATAATATTGTTGCTGAATCAACATTGTGGATAATTATTATTATTATCGCAACTTATTTATGAGGAAGAAATGTATACAGTCGGAAACATGCGATCTTAACAATGTAGAACAAGCCATATGGGGATGGAAACCTTTGGCTCTAGATCTTTCGCACTCTCGTGCGTCGTCAGGAGCGTTGCAATGTTGCAAGAGAGCAACATACAGGAGGGGAGATTCTCTGAAGCAAGGCAGAAGGTGGTATCAGTGGTAACCCATGTACCTCCATGGAAATATTTTGTTATAGCTAGCGAGGACTCCGGTGGTAATATACTACACTGACTTTGTGGAATTATCTTAGAATAATTATGTGTAGGTTGGTTAATTGGGTCTTTAAGACGGCGTATTACTTGTTCAAGACTAGTCAAGGATAAACATTAAACGTATATACACTGAAATATACTTTTGTGTATATATCGTTGACTTTTTTTCATTAACGTTCGTATATAAGAATTGTTTAACTTTATAACACTGTAAAATTATATGTATATTACCCAGATAAAGCCATTAATTGCACTTGAAAAATATTCTTTGGTGTCACACCCAGTTTTTTAAACTGGGTGTGACACCTAGCTGGGACAAACCAGCTGATGCTGAACGTTCATCAGCTGATAGTGACCCATGCTGATCAGGACATACTTATCATGTTTCCTGATGTACACAACATCGCCACCACCACCTAAGATACTACCGTGTAGTAACTCTTTGTCTTTGTATATGAAATGGAAAAATCTACCATTATATTTTATAATCTTGAGTTTTTTTTTACGGGAGTGAAGGTGTAAGCCAGCCAACGGTCTCTGTCATGTAACAATTCAGAGTAGGTTATCAGAAATAATGATCCACTCTGAATCTGCAAATAAAATAACGTCATATAGGACATATACACTGAGAGGCGTACGTTTCTGAGTATAATACTGTATATACTCTGAGAGTTTATTTTAATCCCGTTTTAAACCATTAAACAGGCAACATGCAACCTTAAATGACCCTCTTTGAGTCGATAGGCTTTTAACCCCATCAACCACCATATTTACAATTACCTTATTCACCACTACTCTCATCGCCACGTTTCCTCCCCACAGACACAGCAACAATCAGCATTACGCGAGTGAGAGTACCAGCGACGGTTGAGGCTGGAGGACAGGGAGAATTGGACTGCTCGTGGCAAGAGGAGAGTGATAAGATGTACTCTATCAAGTGGTACCAGGGAGCACACGAGTTCTACCGTTACACACCCACCTCCAAAGATCCAGTCCAGATCTTCGACCCTCCCACTCTTGACGTTGATGTAAGTATTCTCTTTATTAATCACATCGTCAGTTCCCCATCAGACGTGGTCAAACATAGTTCATAAATTTATTGAAACTTAAATTTTGTTGTAATTCACTAGTATACTGGTTATATTTAGTGTAGTTACATTATTCATCCGTATATTTTTACCATAGCTTATATTTGTGTGTGTATATATATATATATATAAATATATATATATATATATATATATATTATATATATATATATATATATATATATATATATATATATATATATATATATAGAGAGAGAGAGAGAGCGCATTTATCATGGGCTATCGTAAAAAACAGCCCAACCAAGGGCAATATAACTGTTCCTTGTTCAATGCTGATATAATTGTTCTTTGTTCAACTATATGATAAATCTTTCTTGTTCGTAGCTCGATAACTAAAATTTGAATAATGAATAAGTTACCTAAGGCAACTTGTTCATTACTCAAATTTTAAAGATATCTCAAGCATAATGAACATAGTTAAGTGGTTCTTGCACAAAGACTATAAATTTAAGGTGATGCATCAGAAAACTTCAGCAGAAAAGATGTAGGTTGGTCAGGAAACAGGACAAGCGTTTCCTGATGCCGGTTTAAAGTTGTATAACGATACACAGCTGGTAATATTGGTCATCTGACCGAGGCCTTCCACTGGCTTACCACTCCACCCCTTTGAAAAAATATGGTAATTATACCTTTTTAAAGAACATAAGAACATAAGAAAGGAGGAACACTGCAGGAGGCCTGCTGGCCCATACTAGGCAGGTCCTTTACAATTCATCCCACTAACAAAACATTTGCCCTACCCAATTTTCAATGCCACCCAAGAAATAAGCTCTGATGTGAAAGTCCCACTCAAATCCAACCCATCCCACTCATGTACTTATCCAACCTAGATTTGAAACTACCCAAAGTCCCAGCCTCAATAACCCAACTAGGTAGACTGTTCCACTCATCAACTACCCTATTTCCAAACCAATACTTTCCGATGTCCTTTCTAAATCTAAACTTATCTAATTTAAATCCATTACTGCGCGTTCTCTCTTGGAGAGATATCCTCAAGACCTTATTAATATCCCCTTTATTAATACCTATCTTCCACTTATACACTTCGATCAGGTCTCCCCTCATTCTTCGTCTAACAAGTGAATGTAACTTAAGAGTCTTCATATCTTTCTTCATAAGGAAGATTTTCTGATGCTATGTATTAATTTAGTCATCCTACGCTGAATTTTTCTAACGAATTTATGTCCATTTTGTAATACGGAGACCAGAACTGAGCTGCATAATCAAGGTGAGGCCTTACTAATGATGTATAAAGCTGCAGTATGACCTCTGGACTTCTGTTGCTTACACTTCTTGATATAAATCCCAGTAATCTATTTGCCTTATTACGTACGCTTAGGCATTGCTGTCTTGGTTTAAGGTTGCTGCTCACCATAACCCCCAAGTCCTTTTCGTAATCTGTATGGCTAAGTTCTACATCATTTAATTTATAAGTACTAGGGTTATGGGCACTCCCAAGCTTCAGAACCTTGCATTTATCTACATTGAACTGCATCTGCCACTTTTCTGACCAAGAATAGAGTTTGTTTAAATCCTGGCAATATAAACACAAATGCAGTATAATGTGATCCTTTATTGACTACGTTTCGCCCACACAGTGGGCTTTTTCAAGTCACAAACAGAACTACCTGGGGTGGAAGGAACGCGAGTATTTATAGTCTGGCTGAGGTCAGGTGAAGAATGCTGCATCTGATGATGTACAGAGTTGGGTTGTAGAGTCTAAAAACTTGGGTAGCTTGGAAAGGAGACTGGACAAGTTTGTGAGCAGACCTTCTACAGTGTTCTTATGTGGGATAGCGATGAAGAAGTTTCTTGGCAAGTGGTTCAGCTATGTTATAGAAGCCACTATTCTGGTTGAAGTTGTCGGATATAGAAATAAGTGATGATTCCGACAACTTCAACCAGAATAGTGGCTTCTATAACATAGCTGAACCACTTGCCAAGAAACTTCTTCATCGCTATCCCACATAAGAACACTGTAGAAGGTCTGCTCACAAACTTGTCCAGTCTCCTTTCCAAGCTACCCAAGTTTTTAGACTCTACAACCCAACTCTGTACATCATCAGATGCAGCATTCTTCACCTGACCTCAGCCAGACTATAAATACTCGCGTTCCTTCCACCCCAGGTAGTTCTGTTTGTGACTTGAAAAAGCCCACTGTGTGGGCGAAACGTAGTCAATAAAGGATCACATTATACTGCATTTGTGTTTATATTGCCATTGTGTCGGTATTTTATACCATTTATTTCCATTGTTTAAATCCTCCTGAAGTTCCCTAACATCTACGTTTGAATCAATTATCCTACCTATCTTTGTGTCATCGGCGAATTTGCTCATATCACTAGTAATTCCCTCATCAAGATCATTGATATATATTATAAATAACAACGGGCCCAAGACTGATCCCTGTGGAACGCCACTTGTTACAGATCCCCACTCGGATTTAACCCCATTTATGGACACTCTCTGCTTCCTGTCAGTGAGCCATGACTCGATCCACGAGAGCACTTTTCCCCCAATGCCATGAGCTGCCACTTTCTTTAACAGTCTATGGTGCGGAACTCTATCAAAAGCCTTACTAAAATCTAGGTAAATTAATATCAAATTCTTTATTGTGGTCAACAGCCTCAAAGCTTTACTGAAGAAAGTTAATAAATTAGTTAGACAAGACCGGCCTCTTGTGAATCCATGCTGAGTATCATTATCAAGCTATGCTTATCGAGATGGCTTCTTATAATCTCAGCTATAATTGACTCTAGTAATTTGCCTACAATTGAGGTCAGGCTTATTGGGGCGGTAATTTGACGGTAACGACTTGTCCCCTGTTTTAAAAATAGGAGTTTACATTAGCCATCTTCCACATATCAGACACTACACCTGTTTGAAGAGATAAATTAAAAAATATTAGTTAATGGTTCACAGAGTTCCATTTTGCATTCCTTAAGAACCTTGAAAAAACCTCATCAGGACCCGGCGACTTATTTTGCTTCAGTCTGTCTATCTGCCTCACAACCATTCACTAGTGCTGTGATTTTACATAATTTATTTTTTTCAGCCCACTGAAAAAATTTAAATTAGGGAAAATATTGTTGTGTTTTCCCTGTGAAAAAAATGAGAGAAAAAAAAATTTTTTAAAATAAGCACATTTCTTTCTCATTGTCGTAAGGTGCCCATAGTTTTTTTTTAAGGGGCCCTTTTTATCTCAAACTTTTGTTCTATAGACCGGGAAAAAAAAACTTTTTGGGTTAGTTTTAGTCCTAGAACTTTTTTATGTCCCTTTTAGTTTTTTTCTTATCCCCTTTTTAAGTCCCCTTAATGTCAATATACTGTTCATAAGATGACCTCACCTTTTTTGATACGCCTATAAAATTCCTTTCTTATGCCCTGTAGATTTTTGACCCTATTATTCACCCTTTTTGGGGTCTTTCTATTTGATTAAATTTCTTTATAGGGGTTTAAAAAACGCTCTTTGGCAGCATGATGTGTTCAGAAAACTGTCATATTGATAGCTCTCTTCTTTTCCCAGTCAACAGCATCGCTCTTGGTCCTTTAAATGGAAATTTTTTTTAGAAAAATAGTTAACACTTGAACCAAACTTTAAAAATTTAAATATTTTTCAAATATAAAAATTTTTTACCCCCACACCACTCACACACGTAGACAACCTGTACGTTGCACGACGCCCATGCTGTCTGCCGCTTGTTATATTTTTCGCCCTCCCAAACCCCTGCCCCCTTTTAAAAAGGATTATTGGTATTTGGTAGCGGGAGTAAATGTAGTCTTTGGAGGCTTTTTTGTTTTTTAAAAGTGTGTGGTGGGTACAACCGCTTGTGTGTTGGGCCCATGGCCGAGCGGGCATCCCCCGAGGGGGAGTGGGTTGGCCTTGTGTTTCTGTAGGCCGTGTTTTTGAGTGAGAGGTGGCAAGGGCGGCAGGCTGGCTGCCCCCAAGAGGCCTGGTACGGGGCAAAATCTGAGTGCTGCGAAATATGAACTAGCGGCGCAGCATAGGCTGTCTGTGCTACAGTAAGGCTGTTACATATGCTCGGCCCCTACCTCCACCGTCCAGTGCGACAATATGGTGGAAAAAAGAAACTCGGTCTCTCTTCGTAGAACAGGGCCAGGAACAAAAAATAAAAACTTTTATACATATGGACATGGAAAAAAAAAAAAATTTCCCTACAGGGAGGGAAGAAAAAAAAAATGGGGGTGTGCAAAAACATCGTGGTCTTGGCTGTGAATCGATGGGCAATGCACGCTTCCCTGCGTTGGACGATACTGCAACCAGGAGACATCGCTCGGTGAGCTGTGACATAACGGGTACGGTCTCTTTGGGAAAACGGTGAAGCAGTATTGTGGAGTCGTGGGGTTTTTTTCATCAACTGGGGCACGACATGCTGGTGCCCTCAGTAAAGGCGTCGAAAAAACTCGGCAATGGGTAGGACTTTGGAAAGCGACTAGGAGGACACTTTTCGCTGGTACTGTTGCTGGGCTGTACTGCCGACGAGTGTGGAGCGAGTTGTGGCAGAGACGACTGGGGAAATTTGGGGGTCAAAAACATTACACCAGACTGCAGTAAGAGAGCTAGCAGTCAAAGTGACATTTTCTTTTTTGGGTGCTCACTAAAGTTGTGACACGAGGTGAACAGGGGCCTCCCACAGTGGTAATGGGGCTGGGGCGAGTGTCATTCTCTGGGAGTTGGAGTTAGGCAGAGGTTAGTCTAAGCCCCCCAGACTTGTTTTTTACATATAACTGCACTTGCGGTTGGAGGTGAAGTGAAACAAATCTCGATGGGAATCGTAGCAGGCGATTCTGCAGAACTCCGAGCGACGGCTAAAAAGCTTTCTGTACAAGAGGGCTCGGTCACCCCGGCTGTTGAAGCTGTCAAACACACGGGGTCACAGGGTTGATTTAAACCAGTGGTGCTACTCGGGTTGGCTCAGACCTCACTGGACACACAGAAATTTAACACCTGTGGTAATGCAGTAAACATGGCTTAAACTAGCAAATGATTTTTTCTGTGCATAAAACTGACCAACATCTAAAATGTGGGAAAAAACACTGGAGGAATTAATTAACACGACTATATCTTTCCGGGTTTTCTCGAAATACTAAAATATTATAAACACTCGATGGTGGCATCATGTGAGTTGTGGGGGGGACGTCAGCAGACATTCGAGGTGGTCGGGAGAATTGGGGTGACGTCAGCAGACATCGTGGTATGAAGCGGGAGCATTGTCGTGACTCAATGTGATGGGGGGCAGCAGACCACGCATGTGGCCTGGGACATCTGGTAACTCACGTGGCTGGTAGACCCAATGACATCCCCAACCCACGTGGTGTTGGGATCCTGTGGGTCGTGATCTACGTGGATGCTGATCCACGTAGCTTCGAGTGGCCCCCCGGGCACTCGGAAAACGCTCTGACAATGAATCACTGAAAAACAGCAGAAAAAAAAAAGCAGAGGGGTGGGCAGTGGTGAGTGGGGTATGGTAGGTGGTGAGGTTTGAGGTACGCGGGCGAGGCAAGGAGCGGCCAAATTCCTCCTCCCCCAAAAGTGGAGATTCACATGGACGCAAAAAAAAATCACTACAAAACTACCTCTGGCTTGCTGAAAAAAGTGTGCTGAGTGAACAAAAAAATAGCAAAATACAAAATGACGTGAAGTGACTTTAGAAACCCGCATGGGACACTGTGCGTGGAGTACTGGGGGCCCCACTTAAATTTAGAGGAATTTGGCAAATTTTGGTGGTCCCGCTTGTACCGTGTTGGATGGAAACGTGCAGGGCAGACTTTGGATAAATCGTTGAGAGATGGATGCATCTTGCTGGGTGATGAAGTGAAGGGACTCTTTCCCTTCCCCCTCTCTTGGGGAAAAAAAACTTCTTCGACCCCGTTCCCACCATTTATAAAGAGTTTTTTTTGGTTACTGAAAGCGGAAAGTGGCAATGATAGAATCTTATTCATCCTCCCTTTACCCTTTAAGCTGATGCCCGAAAGTTGGCTCGGTGCAGTCTTGTCCCCGGGGGTTTTAAAGGTAGCAACAGCCTATTGCTATGCTAGCCGTGCCTTACTAAAGCGGAAGTCAATTTTTCAGTGACAGAGCTAGAAGCTTTAGCCTTTTTTTTGGGCCCTTTAGTTATTTCGGTTCTTATCATTATCCTATCAAGTTTAAAGATCTTACCCTTATTGGCCCTTTTTGTAATAAGAACCTCTCGGGAAAGCATGTCGGTGGTTTTGCTCACGTTCAATGCTACAACCCTGAAATTTGTATGCCCAGGGAAGCAAAATGTTGTGCTGATGCCCCCGTCGAGGATATAGCATTCGTGAGTGTCGGCAAGTCGTTCTCTGTTGAGGATCTCGAGAGAGCCCAACGACAGGACCCTGTGTGGTCTCCAGTCCTTCGTTTCCTGACCAAGGAGGACGTTGACTTACAGGTCAAGTCTCCCGTTCCACTGAAGGATTTGGTGGTCAGCCAAGGAGTACTGTGCCGTGTTACTCAGCTGGTGGACCCTGGCAGAACCATATACCAACTGGTGATACCGGAGTCCATGATACCAGCTACTCTTAGGTTGATCCACGATGTCCCAGGCGTAGCGCACCCCGGGAAGGACCGCAGTATCAGACAGGCACAAATGAAATATTTCTGGCCTAAGATGGCAGCAGACATTGCCAAGCATGTACACCAGTGTGTTGTTTGCCTACAGCACAAGGGTACCATTACAGGTCCTAACCCCATTCTAAAGTATCCCATTACAAAGGAGCCCTGGGAGAGAACTTCTGTCGACCTGTTGACGAACTTCTCGACCTCAGAGAAGGGAAATAAGCACCTGCTTGTTATGGTAGATAACTTGACGCGGTACAGTGAATTAGTACCCATTCCTGATAAAACCGTCGAAACGGTCGCTAGTGCTTTCCGTGAGCATGTTCTTCGTCATACTTGCCCACATGTCCTTCTGTCAGACAATGGGTCTGAGTTTATAAATGGCATAATGCAGTATCTGTCCAGACGCAGGAAGGCGTGCAGTGATGTCCTTCGACACTCACTGCCTATGACCACGATGTTTAGCACACCCACATGTTTTTTTTCTTCCCCCTCCCCCCTGTAGGAAGTTTTTTTTTTCATGTCCATATGTATATATATGTTTTTATTTTGTGTTCTGTGCCCTGTTCCTACGAGAGAGAGACCGAGTTTCTTTTACCACCAGTATTGTCGCGTCGGGACGACGTGAGGTAGGTGGCCGAGCGTATGTAGACAGCCTGTACTGTCTGCACAGACAGCCCATGCTGTCTGCCAGCTTAGTTCATATTTCGCTCCATGCTGGTGCTGCCACCTATAGGCGTTGCCACTTCAGCCTGCCTGCCCTTGCCTCACTCTCACTCACACAGCGGCCTAGCAGGAAGACACAAGGCCTACTAGTAGCTCTCTCTCGTGGGATGGCCCTCCCGGGCCATGGGCACAACACACAAGCCTGTGTACCCACCACGAATTAACAATAAAACAAAGAAGCCTCCGAAGACGTATATCATTTGAACCCCGCTACCATACTACCAAACAAACCATTAAACACACACACACAGGAAGTGGAATAGCCTAGCTAGTGAAGTAGCGGAGGCAGGAACCATACATAGTTTTAAGAAGAGGTATGACAAAGCTCAGGAAGCAGAGAGGGAGAGGACCTAGTAGCGATCAGTGAAGAGGCGGGGCCAGGAGCTGAGTCTCGACCCCTGCAACCACAATTAGGTGAGCACACACACACACACACACACAATAAAATTATTAATATTTGAAAAAGACTGATGATGCATTCTAATTCTACAAGACTATTTAAAATCTTGATTTTAACAACTTCCTTTAAAGGCAGTATAATAACTGATGCCAAAAATATTCTCTTGTATTGGAAAAAATATTATATAAGCTGCAATAGTGGGGTGTGTAGAGCGCGAGGTATTGCCCAGGCAGCGAGGGAACATATAATGTAATCTAGCAGTTTAATCTTCTTGCTAATGCTACAGGGAGATGCTGCCAACACTGTATTAACCTTTATACTCGTTCACTGCAAGAATTTATCTTGTATGGTATTATTGTGCTGGATGAGAGTTGCTTTAATTGTATTATTATACGTCAGAAAATTTCTCTCTCTCTCTCTCTCTCTCTCTCTCTCTCTCTCACTCTCTCTCTCACTCTCTCTCTCACTCTCTCTCTCTCTCTCTCTCTCTCTCTCTCTCTCTCTCTCTCTCTCTCTCTCTCTCTCTCTCTCTCTCTCTCTCTCTCTCTCTCTCTCTCTCTCTCTCTCTCTCTCTCTCTCTCTACAATGCCGTGTTGTTGTTCATGTATAGGTATCTATAAGCAATATATATATATTTGTTTCTGCGTGGTGTATTGATATAAAATTTGCTTGTGAGGTCAGAACATACAGGAGAATGAAATAGCTTGAGGCCTGCTGATGTACCCGGGCTGGGAAGACACATCCCTCGTAAGCAGGCTGCCCAGCCTTTGTGGCTAAGTGGTCTAGAGCATTACTTGAGGACCTACCAACTCTTCCCTGACGTGGTTTTAAACTCTCTCTCTCTCTCTCTCTCTCTCTCTCTCTCTCTCTCTCTCTCTCTCTCTCTCTCTCTCTCTCTCGTCTCTCCTCTCTCTCTCCTCTCTCTCTCTCTCTCTCTCTCTCTCTCTCTCTCCACATATCATTAACCTCAGGTTACGTCACTTTCCCTCTAACTCATTTTCCACACCATCTCTCTCCCTCTCTCTTTTCCTCTGGTCAATCACTGTTCTCTTTGTTTAATTCTCTCTCACTTCCCCGCCTGCTCTCTTCATTCAATTTTTTATAATTTATTCACGCCTGTCTCCTTTTCAGATCCCTCCCCCTCTCTCTTCCTTATATTATATATATATATATATATATATATATATATATATATATATATATATATATATCGAGAGAGATTCTTACTCCTTTCACTTTTCCTAGTTTCTCTTTTAAACATTTATAGTATTGAATCCTGCAGTTGGAGTGTCGTATTTGTCAGGGGACGCTGAAGAATATCCCCTGGGAAGATATCTTATGATTATAATCATAATGTTTAAAGGGGTGGAGGGGTAAGCCAGTGGAAGGCCTCAGTCAGATGACCAAAAGGTCCAGCTATTTATCATATGACTAAGACCCGCGTCAGGAACCACTTGTCCTGTTTCCTGACAAACCTGCATAACGCTGGACTTAACACAACCTGCATAACGCTGGACTTAACACAACCTGCATAATGCTGGACTTAACACAACCTGCATAACGCTGGACTTAACACAACCTGCATAACGCTGGACTTAACACAACCTGCATAACGCTGGACTTAACACAACCTGCATAACGCTGGACTTAACACAACCTGCATAACGCTGGACTTAACACAACCTACATAACGCTGGACTTAACACAACCTGCATAACGCTGGACTTAACACAACCTGCATAACGCTGGACTTAACACAACCTGCATAACGAGTATTACTGTTTGTTTGGCTAAGAAAAAATCGAGTTTGTTACTACATTAACAATATATTATTATGCGAATTCTACAGTGTTAAGTAGGTTGTGCAATGCACACGTATATATTGGACGTATTTTGAGGGTAATTAACAAACCTAACAAACAATAACTAAATCTAATCTAGATTAAGAGTTAAATTCTGGTTTAGGCAAGGTTGGTTTACTTTCTCCATTACATCCCGTTTAATGGTGTAGAATTTATATAATAAACACCACTAGAAACTCTTGTTTATATTATTATATTTGTTATTAGTGGTAGTAGCATTATTATTATTATTATTATTATTCTTGCTA